CATCGGACGCGGCGCCTATGGCGAGGTGCAGCTGGTGCGGCAAAAGCACACCAAAAAGGTGTACGCGATGAAGCTACTCTTAAAGTCCAAAATGGTAACGTATAATGATACTGTTTTTCAAGCACAACTTTGACTAACGGTTTGTTTATGCCAGATTTTGTACTCCGACTATTCCTCCTTCTGGGAGGAACGCTTCATCAGCGCCTTTGCAAAGTCCGAATGGATCGTCAAGGTAAGTCGTGGTCAACGTGTTTAAGAGACGAAACTTTAACACACTGTCTTTGCCTTCTAGCTGCACTACGCTTTCCAGAATAGCCAGTTTCTCTACCTGGTCATGGACTTCATGCCCGGCGGAGACCTGGCGAACCTGATGGCAAAGAACCACGTCTCCGAGATGGGGGCCAAGTTCTACATCGCCGAGATGATCCTCGCCCTGGACGCCATTCACAGCATGGGCTTTGTTCACCGGGACATCAAACCGGAGAATACTTTGATCGACCACCGGGGCCACGTCAAGCTGACCGACTTTGGCACCTGCATGCGCATGGACGACCAAGGGCTGGTCCACTCGGAGACGGTCGTCGGCTCGCTGGACTACGTCTCACCGGAGGTGCTCAAGTCGCAGGACTCCAAGGGCTGCTACGGACGGGAGTGGTAAGTGCTTTCGGGCACTGATTGATGCAGACTAATCCTCATTTGCTGATACTACCCTTTTACCCTCTTCTGTGTTTAGTGACTTCTGGTCAGTGGGCGTCATCCTCTACGAGATGCTCACTGAGAAAACGCCCTTTTACCACGACTTACAAAAGGTCACCTTGGCAAAGATCAAGGAGCACCAGAAGTACCTCTCCTTTCCCGATGACATTGAGATCAGCAGCGAGGCACGCAACCTCATCCGCTCCTTCCTCACCGACCGCAACGTTCGCCTGGGCCGAAACGGCATCGACGAGCTGAAGGCTCACCCCTTCTTCACCAACGAGCAGTGGACCTTTGAGAACATCCGCCAGTGCATCGCACCGGTCCTCCCGGAGCTCTCCAAAGACGACGACACGAGCAACTTTCACGACGTACCGGAGCCGGAGAACAGCGGCAGCCGCCAGCCGAGGGGCCACCTCGCCGACAACAGCTTTCCCGAGCCGAAGACCTTCGCCGGAAATAACTTTCCATTTGTGGGTTTTACCTACTCGGGCGACTACCAGCTGCTGTCGGGCAGCCTCTCTGCTGGACAACAGCAACAACTGAGCGGCGGCGGCGTCTCACGGTGCAACTCTCGCAAACGCAACTCAGTGCAAATGGACGACGACGCCAGTGTAAGTGGATCGAGTAGCTTTGTGTTTTTGCTTTTTGAAAAACACAAAACCCTGTTTTGCTGACTTTGGTTTCTAAATTCTCTCCCTCCCTTTTAGTCCGAACTTAGCCGAAAGATGGGCAAACTGGAAGAGGAGAAGCGGCGCGTCGTGGAGACCTACGAGGAACTGGAGAGCAAGTACCGCCTCGCCTTGAACCAGCTGGAGAAGCAGGCCGAGGAGATGGCCTCGCTGCGCAACGAGAAGCTCGAAGTGAAGAAGGCGGTCGCCGTGCTAATGCTCGACTTCAAGGCCCTCAGGAACAAGCACGAGCAAGAGGTGAAGGCGCACAGCACCGCCGAGGCGACCATCGCCGAGCTGAAGGTCAAGTTCGAGAGCGACCGATCACTGCTCGCTAATCAGCTGACACTGGCCGGCGAGAAGTACAGCAGCCTGGAGAAGCAGAACGCCCTCCTATCGGAGAAGCTGAAGGCGGAGAGTGAGGCGGTGACGAGGGAGGCTAATGCCAGCTCCGAGCTGAAACACCTGTTCGCCGCCAGCGAGTCGGCCTTGGCCGAGCTAAGGGCCAAAGTGGAGCTGGAGCGGGTCAAGGAGCGCGAGCTGGAGTCGCTTAAAGACCAGTTGGGCGCCAGCATGGCCAAGGTCAAGGAGCTGGACGCGACCATCCTCTGTCTGCGTGGCGAGCTGAAGGACAACAAGCTGAAACAGCAGCAGCACCAGCAGATGATGCCGCCGCAGACTCGTCCAAGGGTAAGTGCTCAAATTTTGCAAGCTGAGCTTGACAGCGTAATCATTTTGTGTTCTCTTCTTTTCCCCAGAACGAGCACCACATTGACCAGCTCGACAGCTTCAACAACAACAACATCAGCACCACCAACGAGACGGCCATGAAGGAGCTATGGGTGGAGGAGGAACTGGAGCGGGTCAAAGAGCGCGAGCTGGAGCTGCTTAAGGACCAGCTGGGCGCCAGCATGGCCAAGGTCAAGGAGCTGGACGCGACCATCCTCTGTCTGCGTGGCGAGCTGAAGGACTACAAACTGAAACAGCAGCAACAACCGCAAGCTCTGGGCCACGGCAAAGCTGGCATGACTCCCACCACTGGTGCCGGTGACGCCCGGTGCAAGTCGGCCACCCTACCTCAGCTAGGCCACGGTGGCCAGGTGTCGATGCAGATGCAAATGCAACAGCAGCAACAGCAGCAACAGCACTCTCAGTCACCATCTCAGCAGCAACAGCAGCAGCAGTATCACGCCCACCACCAGCGACAGTCGTCGCCCCATCACAGTCCCTCCTCCTCGTCTTCAATTGCCGCCGCCGTCTACCAGCAGTACATGCCCAGCAAGCAGCAACAGCAGCATTCACCTTCAGCAGGTGGTGGTGGTGGACTGGTCACTCGCGGCTCGCCCACCTGTCGTCTGAGTGAAGCGAGCACCTCCAGCATCAGCAGCATCAGTCAACAGCAGCACAGCAAAGACAATGGAAATGTTTTAATGGCGGTCATCAACTGGTGGCGATGCTGCTGGTGATTGTGATGATGCTAATGCAACAAGTTTGTTGACACCATTTTAATCTATTATTTAAATCAGTTGGTGTCTTTTTTCTCTTTCTTATCTCTCTCTCTCTCTCTCTCTCTCTCTCTCTCTCTCTCTCTCTCTCTCTCTCT